AACCTTTGATGATATAAATATAAGTTACAAATCCAGGGCTGATTTCTTTATCACCAATTACAAACTTGTAATTTAATTCTAACAATTCCTCAATCTCTTATAATAGTCATCTAAGCCATATTCAGTTATCTACTTGCTACCGTATTCGTATCAAATTTAGATATTCATTAATTACACATATGAGACCAAACATTTCCATTCATGCATTTACCAATACCAACATGTTTTATAAAGCATAAAGAGGTAGTAAAGTATTACCTCGATTTTCGTACAATACTGATCGACCATAAAATTCCATTCGAATGCTCTCGATCTTGAAATCATCTTCCAATATTTCCTCGGATTCATACCAACAGAAATTACATAAAAACGGAGATTAATTATGAAAAATGGATCGAATCGGATGATAAATCAGTGAAAAACAGCTAACCGGGTTAGAATTTGGCAAAACGGGCTTCGGATTCAGATTCAGGACGTCGAAAGCATAAAATATGACTTTTCGAAAATTTGAAATTTTTGGTCAAAATCAAAGTCAACGGTTTTGATTGGCAATTTCAAGGCCTTATGGTCTGGATTTCGAAAAACGAACTGCGGAATCGGATTTGGAACGTCGAAAATGTCAGGATAAGTATACTCGGTCAAAGTCAAAGGTCGTTTAATGCTCGGTCAAAGTCGGTCAAAGTTTTGGTCAACAGTGGTCAACGCCGATCAACAGTCAACGCTCAACGTGTCGAGTCAAGTTATAACCGGTCATTTTTTTTACTTCCCCACGCGCAGGCGCGTGGGGTTGCGTGAACAGTACTCTGATGTCGAAAAAAATCCTAAAAATTATTTAAGCGATTTTGAGATATTTACAAAGCTCGGTTCAAATTTTTGAACGGCGGAGAATTCGATTTCAACGAATCGGAAACTTTGACCGCTTCACCTCCTCACGCGCCGCCGTCGACGGAGACCAAGGATGACACCGGCAGACTCGGAACGATGCAAAGAACACGATGGTACGGGAGGTGTCGTAAACGGATGCTCGGATCGTCGTGAATCGATGAAAATCCAATTAAAATCGGGTTATTACCAACGATACTTCCGACTAAAATTAACGACGAACGACAACGATTCATGACGAAAGGTTTGAGGGGTTTTGTGCTTCGCTCGACAAAGAACACGATGGTGGTTTCAACTCGTCGATCGGAGGTCGGACAACGAATAGATCGCAGTTAAAAGTTGGGTCAACGGGAGAGAAAAACTGGGAAAAATGAATTCTGCTGCACAGGAGGGGTTATAAATTCTCTCATAAATAAAATGGTTAAACTATGAGTTTAGTCACTGAACTTCCTGTCTTTCTTAAAATGGTCTGCCAACTTTGAAATTTTACAATTTAATCCTCTATTTCCTTCCAAATTCCAATTAAATTCACCACTTTATAATTTCTTAAATTTAACCCCTAATTAGAGTGTTACATTGCCACCCAACTCCGAGACAAACCCCACCACATTTGAATTTGGTTACCTGATAAAGCATACACACAATAAATCAATCAACTATTAGTCATATAATCTCTTATATCTTTTTGCCTATAAAATGCTTACAGATTACCTGCAACACAAGAAGAGAATAAGAAGAAATTCCTCCAGAATAGTCAACCTCAGGAACTAATCGAAGAACTTGAGAATTATCAATAAAATCACCAATCAAATGATCCATAGCTGAAAGAGTTTGAGCTTCAACGAACAAAACTCCTTCATCGTTGCATGATATTTCAAGTCTTCCATTTTCATCATATCCGAACCTTCCAGCAATAGGGTAAAATGACACAAGAATGTTGCTTAAAGCCTCCTTAAGCTTTCCAGTATCAAAGAAATCACAAGACCCATTTGGCTTATAATAGTATACCAAAGGTACGTGGTATCTTGTAATCAATAGATCTAAATTGGAGTTCCATAGACTTTTTCTGCCAGTTTGTTGAGCAGGACGAACTATTGCAGACTCCTTTAAGCTAATCTCCATAGCTGAAAATTAGTTAATATAACACTAAGAATCAAAAAGAATAAATCCGAGAACGAATTTTTCTTAAACGGGAGAGCGTTAAAATCATTGTGTAAAGCAAAAGTTCTTCTCAGAAACACTCCTTCCAGAAATATTAGAATCAAATTGAAATGAGATAATAAACAAAAGAGTATGACAGAAACCATACCTTTGATCGTAGTAGAAAGAGGGTTAGAAATGAAGAACAAGCATGGAGATGGTAGAATACAATTTGTAGAGGTTGGACTGCCGATTATGAAGTCTTCAACATATAAGCTTATTTTATAGATAAAAATTCATCAATCAAAACATAAAAATAGATTTATTACGTTACACATCCCTAAACTATGAACCTTATTATAAGTCAGTCTCTAAACTTTTAGTTATTCCAGTTTCATCCCAAACCTATGATCCTTAATCTAAATTGGCCCTAGACTTTTAAATATTATAATTTTATCTTCAAGTTATCTTCATATTATAATACATCCTATGTTAATAAAATCATTAAAAAATATTAACTACCATATAAACATTAATGTATTATGAGTTAATTTTTCAAATTAGTGGTAAAAAAAGAAAACTCAAACATGAGTGACTAGTTATGCAGTTAAGCCAAAATTAATTAATAATATCATATTCTATAATTAGATCTAAGAGCATTGTTTGAATTAGGATGGATTGCCTTTTAAAGTATGTAAAACACAAGAGCTGGGGGGCCAAGCCTAGCATGCCAAGAAGCCAATACACAAGACCTATATATGAACTGTCAACAATCTTATCACTCGTAATATATCCTTATGCTCATGCACGACTGGGATACGCAGTAAGTAAAGACCTCACCCCTCCCAATCACCTGTCATAGGTCTTGAATCAAACATTGAGTGTTGCAAAACAAAACAGAAAAATCAAAGTCCGAGATTAAACTGAAATTGAGGAACATATAAAACCTTCTTAAACCAAAGAAGAAGAAAGACGAATGTTCCCTGAATAAGCAACAGGAACAACTGAATTATCAGGTAGAAGGATCGTGACACCTTGAATTGGAGTCAAAGAATCAAAAGATCTTTGATATAACAAACATGTCTTGATACTCCTGAGTCTATAATCCAACATTTGTTAGTATCGAATGAACGCAAGCTATTGATATAGGAAACAATCTTGCCTTGCATCGAAGGATTGATAGAGGTAGAAGGATGGTCCAAAATTGGAAGCAGACTGTAGCTGATTGGTAACCATGGCGATAAGGTGCTGACTCTGTTTTGTTGTCAAAGAATCACTAGAAATGACTTAAGAAGAATTATCAGAGGAAACAACGGCATTTGAATGAGCCAATGATGGATTCTTGGAACGAGCATGATAACCAGGCGGATAACCATGAAGCTTGTAGCATTTATCTCTGGTGTGGCCCAACATGCTATAATAACTACATTGTGGTTGAGATTTCTTTGTAACCGGAGAAGCTTTAATAGCAAAGGTAGCTTCAGCAATGGGAGAATTGACAACAATGGAACTTTGATTTTCTTCTTGAAGAATCCAAGAAAAAAATTTAGTTATGGAAGAAAAAGAGTCCATTAATAAAATCTGGGCACAAATGAGAGCGTAAGATTCATGAAGACCCATTAAAACTTGCATGTTTAACTCTTTTTTTATGTTCATTTATCATCTTCTGAACACTACCACAAACAACCGCTGTCGTTAAATGATAAAGAAGATTCGCAGCAATGTCCTTCGAAACCGAATTCAAGATCTAAGGGTTAACGAGATTATTAGCACGTGTCCAAGCATTGAAAAGAATTATCGATGTAGAAGCAAGTGCAAGAATGGATCCATCAATGAAATCAGTCTTGTTCTTGGCTGATTGAGCCGTCAACATACAACGTTTCCAACTGTTATAATTGTCATTGGTGTGGGGTTGCATGACCAGGATCATCCCTGGATTATCAGATTGATAGAGGTAGTAGGGATTACCACTATTGTGGAACTGATCAGAAAGACTAGAACTATCGCCCATTGAAGAAAGAAAAGAAAAGTTGCAGAGAAAGCTTAAAAGCAACCAACAACTGATATCATATTACGATAGATTTGAGAATGAAGAAGGATTTTATTCATACTTCAATAAATGCTATAGCCTATAAACATGCATCTACAAATCTATAGAATCTTACTAAGCTTAACAGTCTAGTTACAGTAAATAATTAACTTGTAACTAACCCTACTAAACCGTCACCATCCTTAACAGTCTCTCTTCTTCTCTTACACGATTCATCATATTCAACTTACTTAAAAAGCAATCGGCTGCGACTCTCTGTATACGGCCACCATTACCCCCACAGTCTATCATCAACAGTTTCCCAAGCCGTGGAAACTGAAGAATCAATCAGACAATGGAGATTTCATCAAATTTATAATGAAAAAAGAACATAAAAGAAACATCCAATGTTAGAGAATCGAAGAACAAAAAATAGTAGGTAGTGATACCATAGGATATTTCAACCACAAACCAGAAGACAAAAATAAAATAAGTCAGTAGCATATGATAGAAAACTATTTGAACGAGATTAATACAGTAGTATACAAACAAGAATGTCGTTTCATGGTTGTTTTTCCGTATGGCTCTGGAGTCTCGAAATCTTTTGAAAGAGAGAGGAGGGTTCGAGCAGAAGGTTGAAGACGGTGATTTTTTTTTGGGAAAACAATAAAAGAAGATGATTTTCAAGATGTCATGTAAAAAATAAAATAATGATTGTCTTTCAGTATGATTTTATTTTAATTTATTACAATGTTTACATTAACGTCCACCAATGAGTGATGGATTATTTTCAAGTATTTATTATCCATCGTGATTGAAAAACAAAAGACAAATAGCATCATTAATCCATTATCTCGTGGTTAAACAATATTGACATCTTTGACCACAATTTAAAATCTACCCTCATCCAATTATAAAAAATTTCAACATCAAGATTTGAGGTTAAAATTCAGCCGTCGCCATTGCGATTTATTTCATCAAGAATCACCACCAGTGCAATGATGAATGCATAATCAACATTAGGGTATGCAGTTATTTCATAATTATCTGCGTTGATAACCAGGCTTTTTACACTCTGACTTTTGTGCATCTGCATTCATGTCAATAATATGCTTAATAATAATTCTTTATAGTAATAACATAGAAGTTCTAATCTTCTGGATATAAAAATTAGAAATGATTCAATCATTCAAAAAATACTTTAATTAATGAGATTGATTTAATAGTGAGAACAAGTTAATTACCGAATTCTTAGAAACTATTGATTTTTCTCTAAAATTTCAATTTAACTTATATTTTTATAGTGAATTTTGAATATTAAACTTATATTTGACGAATTAATAATATACTATTTTCTATGTTATCATTGAATTAAATAATAAAAAACATGAAAATTAAAAAAATATATATACTATTTTCCTTTGAAATTTTATTTTTCTAATATATTGATCCAAATGTGAGAGAACAATAATACAATTTATCCTTATTAAAAGATCGAGGACAAGTATTTTATTATTTTCTATCATGTGTCATCAATTTTTTTCTAAAAAGTAATAAGATGGTTTATATAAGTTTTTAGAATTGTCTGCTATATTATATTAGGATCAAATTAATAAAAAAAATAAAATTAAAAGTTCAGAAGAATATATAACAAAAATTTAAAAACTGAAATGACTAGACTAATAAATGTCAAAAAAATAATCTTGTCTTAATGTTGAATCGAAATTAATATTATATTTTAGCAATTGAATTTTAATTAGGCAAAACGATATATTTACCTTTTATGTTTACAAAAATAATCATTTTGATCATTATTTTTCTATTAGTGTTTTAGATCTTAATGTTTTAATTTTTTTGTCAAAAAATTCTTAAAATAAATCGTTAATTAATTAACAATCAACACATATTAATGACATAACATTTCACATGTGTTTAATTATTTATGTAATACATGTCAATATAACTATTTTAGATGATATACAAATTATTATTTTAAATGATTTTAGTTTAGATGACCTAATCCGTGTATATATATATATCACTTCATCACTTGGTATATTTTATTTATATCATTATCTTATTAATTCAAAGGGCTTTACGTTGATTATTAATTCAATTACCACGGCGATTATTAATTCAATTACCTCGGCAATGATGGTATCTCCATGGAAAACAGTGCAGTTACTGCGACACCAGTTCTCTATGATCTTGAAATCGGGGCGTGATTCACTCGTATTGGATGCCAAGAAAATATCTAGCGACGTCGCCGTCCTGGTTTTCATCCTCCGAAGAATCAAAGACGATTTCTTCACACTGAAAAGAAAATCAACCGCTCCCTCGCTTTCTCCTCTGAAAACTTTCCATCTCCTATGAACACTCGATATCTAACCAAACAACACTATATACATATCATAAATATTCATTTATTTGACTTCAAATATCACAGTTTTCTCAAGCAAAAAATGGACGCAAATTTTACCTTCTGTCTGAGAGAAACGAGAGGAATTCCAGCGGCGTCAAACAAAACGCGACGATTATGAACGCTGAACAACTTATCCCTAACCTTGAAAATAGGGTTACCATTATCGTCAACGATATCGAGGTAATTTTCAGCAATTGTAAATACTGTTTGTTGTATTTTGAGTTCCACTGGGTTTGGGACAATGAACTTTTTACCGATCACCACGATGGGATCACTATCCGCCGTATAGAAATTGGCTGGGGATGTCGCTTCTGACGCTGGCGGTGGCAGCTCCTCTCCGATCGCAGCTGTCATTGGATATCGATCAATCTCTTGTTCAGAGAAAATCAATGAGGAAAATCTATAGAATATTTGGTTCGGGATTGACAATCATATACGTATTCTGGATCAAGTTCAATTGCCGTTCACTTCTTTTGTTTCGAACGAGATCAAACTTATCAGCCATGAAATTTTTGTTTCAACGCTTTCTCATACTAAGAAACAAATTAGACTTAACCATTTTGTCTCCTATGAAGAAAGAGAGAGAGTGTTGTGAAATTCGGGTTAATTTCCACCAATAACAGATTCACCGTGAAAACTATTATCTAGGTGACTAGTGTGAAAACGATTGTACTAAAAATCACCCCAAGGTAGATTCCCAGGAAAGAGGAGGGGTCACAATGGTCCCTCTTAAAACCCACTTTCCTTAGACAGAACTACCAAGACAAGTAATTTTAATAGGACAATAATTGACAACAACTATACCCGACAATAGCTATTAAATAGACATAAAAGAGAACACCAAAATATTTCACTAATAGAGGAAATATTACAAAGAGAGAAAGAATACAAATAGCCTTTAAAATAGAAGAAGGCTTATATTTGTGGGATAATTAACTAAGGAGGAGGAGGGCTTTATTTATAACAAAAGAATTTCCCCTCCTCCTTATACACAACCAATGTGGGACTTTTGCCAAAAACCAACAAATCTCCACCTTGGCAAATTCCACACACATCTCTAAAAAACAATCTTTTAATTTGTAACAATATTGACCAAATCTAAACAATGTTTAAACTTGACCGCAGTTACCACTTTTGTCAACATATCAGCAGGATTCTCAGTGGTCCGAATCTTCTGGATTATGACTCCACCTTCTTCTAGAATCTCTCGTACAAAGTGATATCGAACATCAATATGCTTCGTCCTTGCATGGTAAACCTGGTTCTTTGCTAAATGAATAGCACTCTGACTGTCACAGTGCACTTTGATGTGCTTTTGTTCTATTCCCAATTCACCAAGCAACCCTTGAAGCCAAATTGCCTCCTTCACAGCCTCTGTAACTGCCATATACTCTGCCTCTGTAGTAGACAAAGCCACTGTTGACTGTAAGGTGGACTTCCAACTGACTGGTGCCTTTGCAAATGTAAACACATAACCAGTAGTTGATCGACGCTTGTCCAAATCACCTGCATAGTCTGAATCACAATACCCAACTACACACTGACCATCTTGTTTGTCCTGCTGAAAGACCAAACCAACATCTACGGTGTTTAGAATATACCGCAGAATCCATTTCACAGCTTGCCAATGCTCCTTTCCAGGATCATGCATATACCTGCTCACAACCCCAATTGCCTGTGAAATATCGGGTCTCGTACACACCATTGCATACATCAAGCTACCAACAGCTTGCATACGGAACCTTTGACATGTATTCCCGTTCTGCATCATCCTTAGGTGACATGGATGCACCGAGCTTGAAATGAGGAGCAAGAGGTGTACTAACTGGTTTGACATCTCATTTATGCCAAAACGTTTTAGTACCTTCCTCAGATATTCTTTCTGAGACAAACAAAGCCTCCCAATTTCTTATCCCTTGATATCTCCATGCCTAGAATCTTCTTCGCTTCACCAAGATCCTTCATCTCAAACTCCCTGTTCAATTGAGTCTTTAGTTTCGCAATTTCTGTCTGACTCCTGGAAGCTATCAGCATATCATCAACATAAGAAGAAGATATATATAGGATCCGTCTTCTAGCTCACGTAAATACACACAATGATCATATTTGCTTCTTGTGTACTTCTGCCCTATCATAAACTTGTCAAATCGCTTGTACCACTGCCTTGGAGATTGCTTCAATCCGTACAACGATTTTTCTAATTTGCACACCATCTCTTCTTTTTCAGCAACTTTGAATCCATCTGGCTGAGTCATGTAGATTTCCTCATCCAAGTCTCCATGTAAAAATGCAGTTTTTACATCCATCTGAACTAGTTCCAAATCCAACTGCGCTACCAAAGCCAACAAAATTCTGATGGAGGAATGTTTTACAACTGGAGAAAATACTTCATTATAATCAACTCCCTCCGTTTGAGCGTAGCCTTTAGCCACCAATCTTGCTTTGTAGCGGATGTTATTCTTGTCAGGAAATCCATCTTTCTTTGCATATACCCACTTGCACCCAATTGCCTTCTTTCCCTTCGGAAGACTAGCTAGTTTCCACGTCTGATTCTTTTGAAGGGATTGCATTTCTTCATTCATGGCAATCCTCCACTTTTTATGTTCTGAACTTTGAACTGCTTCATTAAAAGTGGCAGGAACGTCATCAATTGCAATTGGTGATGCAAAGAGACCATATCAGCATAACGAGCAGGTTGTCTAATGGTCCTCTTTCCCTTTCTGAGTGCAATTGATTCATGTTGCTGTGGAGGTTCTTGGGTCTGAACCTCTTCTTCATCTGACTCTTCTTCTACCATAGGAGAGTCAACATCATTTCTTTACTGGTTGGGACAAATTTGCTTCCTTCAAACTCCACCTTTTGGGAGTTCCATCTGTCTGCTCCAATTTTTCTGAAGTCACCTTTCTCAACATGGTAGATTCATCAAAGGTAACATCCCTGCTGAAGATTATTTTCTTTGTTTCTGGACACCAAAGACGATAGCCTTTCACACCAGAGGTGATCCCCATAAAAATCGCCTTCTTTGCTCTTGGATCCAGCTTTGACTCCTTAACATGGTAGTATGCAGTGGAACCAAACACATGTAAGGAATCATAATCTGTAGCAGGTACTCCAAACCATTTCTCTAATGGTGTTTTACCACCAATAGCAGTCGATGGTAAGCGGTGACAAGGTGACAAGCATAGACCAAAGCCTCAGCCCAAAATTCTTTGCCTAACCCAGCATTAGACAACATACACCGAACCTTCTCCACTATGTCCGGTTCATACGCTCTGCCACTCCATTCTGTTGTGGTGTACCTCTGACAGTGAAGTGCCTAACAATACCTTCCTCTTCACAGACTTTCAGAAATGGATCATTTTTGTACTCTCCACCATTGTCTGTACGGAGACGTTTGATTTTTCTGCCTGTTTGAGTCTCCATCATTTTTTCCATTTAAGGAAAAATCCTAGCACCTCATCCTTTGTCTTCATTGGATACACCCAAACTCTCCGGGAAAAATCATCAACAAAGGTGACATAATAGTGTGTTCCTCCCAATGAAGTTGTCTTGGAAGGCCCCCATACATCTGAATGAACATAATCCAAAATACCTTTAGTATCATGGATTGCTGTTCCAAATTTCACCCTCGTCTTCTTCCCTTTGATGCAATGCTCACAAAAAGCTAATTTGCAAGCCCGAGCACCCTTCAATAATCCTTGATCTATCAGTATTTCAAGGATTTTCACCAACATGCCCCAAGCGCATATGCCATAACCTGGTTGCTTCTGACTCCTGTTCATCAGTAGAAGCTGCCACTGCTGCTGTCCCAACAATTGTACTACCCAGAAAGTAATACACATTGTTTCTTTTTCGGATTCCCTTCATTATCACCAGTGCACCAGAGATAATCCTCATATCCCATCTTTTGCCCTCACTTCTAAACCTTTTGACTCTAAGGTTCCCACAGAGATGAGATTTCTCATTAAATCTGGTACATAATGGACACCTGTTAAGGTTCTGATTGATCCATCCTGATTCCTCAAGCGAATTGAACCAATCCCAAGTGTGTCAAGAGGGGAATTATTTGCTGTGTAGACAATTCCACCTTTTAGTTCTTTAAAATCAAAGAACCATTCTCTATTGGGGGTCATATGGTGGCTACAAGCTGAATCTAACAGCCATGAACTGGAACAGCTGGTTGATGGCGTAGCAGCGAATGCGAAATCTGAATCTCCATCATCATACTCGACCACATTTGATTCTGAGACAGCCTTCCCCTTTCAGGTTTGCCTTTATTCTTTAGCTTGGGACATTCTTTCTTCCAGTGCCCTTTTTCTCGACAAAAGCACATTCATCTTTGCTCAATCTGGACTTTGACTTCGATCTCCCTCTGCTTCCTTTATTCTGACTCTTGGAACGGCCTCTAACAACAAGAGCTTCTGCTTCGACACTTGTGTTTTCTTGTTTGTCTTTCTTTCTCAATTCATAACTATACAAGGCAGCAGTTACTTCACTGAGAGACACATCAACCTTCCCATGAAGTAGAGTAGTTTCAAGATACTCAAACTCATCAGGAAGTGATCCCATCAACATCAGAGCCAGATCTTCGTCTTCAAAAGTCACGTCCATATTCATCAGATCAGTCACCAGCTGATTAAAGCTAGTAATGTGATCATTCATAGTGGTACCTGGTACATAGTTGAAGCGGAACAGTCTCTTTTTCATGTAGAGTTTGTTCTGACCGCTTTTCTTCAAAAATTTCTCCTTCAGTGCCTTCCACAATTTACTTGCAGAAGTTTCCTTAGAAAATGCATACTTCTGCTCTCTAGAAAGACACGATCGAATAGTACCACATGCCATTCTATTGATCCTCTTCCATTCTTTCTCCTCAACATCATCTGGTTTCTCTCCTTCAATAGCAATGTCTAGACCCTGCTGAAATAGGGCATCTAGAACCTCGCTTTGCCACATGCCGAAATGACCGGTGCCATCAAAAATCTCCACTGCAAATCTAACATTTGTCACAGCATTTCTTGCCAAAATTGAAGATGAAGAAGCGTCTGCCATTTCTGCTACAAATTCTATTTAATAGCTGCCAATGCAGAATGTCAATTATCCCAAGGAAATTTTTCTGACGTGGAAGATCAGCCTAAGCCGCAACCACAGAGCATACTAAAATAAACCAAGAGCGCTGATACCAATTGTTGTGAAATTCGGGTTAATTTCCACCAATAACAGATTCACCGTGAAAACTATTATCTAGGTGACTAGTGTGAAAACGATTGTACTAAAAATCACCCCAAGGTAGATTCCCAGGAAAGAGGAGGGGTCACAATGGTCCCTCTTAAAACCCACTTTCCTTAGACAGAACTACCAAGACAAGTAATTTTTAATAGGACAATAATTGACA